TGCTCCCCGCGGTTGACAAGGATAAGCCTGAAGCGCGGAGACTTTCTGGGACTGGGTATACATACTGTACAGTATCTAAGTTACAGCCGCGACAACGTAATGACTGGACATGAGGGGAATTGTTTGTGTGTGACCTGCTTTTGAAAGGAAAAATTAATTACTGCCTTGTCCGGTCACTACTCGAGTACCTTGTCGCGGCTGTGCGACGAGAGTACAGTGCCGGTACTCCCGGTGGGGAGAATGGCCCCGGTGCCCCGGGGATGTTGGTAAGCCTGGAATATCAAGTAGAACAAGAGAATTTACTAGAAATTTGGGGCCATACATTAGCTCACAGGGAAATACATAGTTACTCAGGAACATGTTTCTCAAATTCCTAAGCCTCCTTGAGAAGATATGGATTTCGTTACCAGAGTCTCTCTCTCTCTTTTTTTTATATTTTTGTATTTTTTTTTTTACCGATGATGACTGGCCGGTTAACTCGGTGCCATTCTTGTCGAATTCCTCCGCCGTCGCCGCCGAGATAGGGGCGGGGACAAGGGGGGAATGATGTAACCTGCTGGATATCAGGGCTGAAGGAGCTGTGTCGTGAAAATGATAACCCCTTCAGATAAAACAAGTGCCAAAAGAAAACCCCCAGAATTTGGTAAATCCAGCTGAGAGGGGAGCGGAAGTCGGATTTTGGGAATTGGTCCGCTCTCGGTTATTGGGGTGAATATATTGACGGTAACGAAGTTGTATCAAGATGCACAGGGCAGGCGTTGGTATCATACAGCACATACATCGGATGAGGAAGGATACAGCAACCGTTGCAGTAGAGTACTGTACCGGCACTTGTAGATACCGGTGTGATACATTCTTCAGGAGGTTCAGCACGGTGCGACCAATCGACGCAGGCACTAGGGGGAAAAAATATGTGATACAGTGAAAATTACACGAGGCGTCTCGAAATCTGAGTTCCTCCGATGTGGTACTGCAATATCGTAACCTCTAGAGAAGGTCGGTCAATGTCCGAGGAAAAAGATGTGAGTCAGGGCACGGATACTCAACTCCATCACTGGATTCCAAAGGTATTTCTGTGACAGCAAGGCAATTCCTATCCCACCTCCCCACGTTTCTCCAGCCTCCGGGAAACGTTGGCGGGGAGCTTTAACTAGACCTGCAGTGTTTTTCACTCGTGCGGTCCTTGTAATCACTGGATTCTGGGTCAAAAGCTCTAGAGAAGGATTAGTGTTTTCCCGAAAAGGTATAAGATCGGGTCACTGGATCCCGGATCTTATTAACCAGTATCCGCAATACTTTTAATCTATTAAAATAAACCTATCGTGAGCCGGTAGCTGATAATTTGATGGTGGATTACACGTCCGCTGTTTCCTTTTCCTTTTCCTTTTCCTTTTTTTTCTTTTCTCCCTTTTTTTTCTTTTGAAAATGGAGGATATTGGTAGATCAACGGGAGAGGTCCTTTGTTGCCAGGAATGGGGGCGAAGGCGGGAGGGGAGGAAGGATTATGCTTGTTTGCAGGGAAAACCTGGGACGTTGAGGGTTGGAAGTGGGTGGTGAAGATGGATAGAGCGAGCGATCAGCGAACAAGCATGAGGGTGACCAGTAACTTAACGGGTAGCTAGCATGCAGATTTCTCTAGAGTTATGACACTCGTACAAGGCTTTTAAGATTCTTGTCGGATCTTGCTGTACGGGGGACGGGCGTGGTCTGATCTACTTACTGGTGATACGGGTAGTATCATACCCCTTAAGAGAATTCCTGAGATCTCACCATCGAGTCACAGCTCGTGATCAAGTGGGGTCGTTGTAACTCACCCCTAGTATTTCCTTGAAAACCACCTATGCCTCCACTCTCCCATCCGGACCCCCTCTCGCGTCATCCTTCGCTAAGTCATTGAGAATGTCGACCCTGGCGGAGTTCTGCCAAATATGTTTAGGAATTCACTCACGAGACAGCTGATGATGATGCCGATCCTGGAACCCCGCATTGACAAGGCGAGTGGCAACGCACATGCAACCATAAAATTGGTAATGTTCCAATGGATACAGCCACCCTATCCCCGCAAACAAATCCTTCAGCAGCGGTGATCGCAAACGTGGAATTTAAGCTTGACTTGAGGTGGCTGATCGTAACTCATTGTCCTACGGAGCCCGGCGGGCAAAAAATGATGGGCTGAACACGTAATTTTCTGACACAGCTGCTATGATACAGGTATTGCATAATAATAGTATAGGAAAAAAGCGAATTCGTCAAAGCAGGGTAACAGCCAAATAGGTGTTATGATACGTTACCAGTCCCCGCTCGTCTCCCCCACCTGTTTCCCTTGTGCCCCCCCCCCTTTGGGAAGCGCGGTGGTGGAGCTCACAAAGGTCGGAAACAGATTACGAGTGTCATACAGGAACTCGTACTGTATGTAAATTACGGTACTCGCAGTGGGTTGACATTTGTGAGCGCGACAGCTATTGCATACCGCCAAATTTTGGGCTTTCTTTCTTTAGATACAACTGGGGTGAGGATATTACAGTATATTAAGCCTTTCTGCTCGGATCTGGGTGGAATGCGATACATACCGACGGCACCCATGCCGGTAGTAGTTGTGTTCGCGGATATCACCCTATGACTTGTAGGAGGAGCAGGGAATAGACTGCGCTGTGCCAGTCCATCCACTCTCATAAGATGATTACTCTTGGTACGGTACTTGTAATAAGGTTGATTTCCTATGCGCCTTCCTCTCCCCCCCTCCCACTTCCAGGGACCAGTCTCTGGCTGTATGATATGCGAGGCTTACACCACCACCACACGAAATGCTCCATCGCATCCAGCCCGTTTAACGCCACAAGCACTCTTTTATTTTTCTTGCGCTCATATCATACCAGCCGAGTCTATTTTTGGACCTTCTTCGTATTCTAGAATCTTATTTTTCTCTCGCTTGGGAATATTTTTTCGGCTTAGCCCGCCGGATCTCTATTTTTCCGTATTGGTCGCTTGTGTATCTTCGCTTTGTTTTTGGGTCCACGATGGAAGGGAAATGGAGGGCCCTTATTTCATGGGAGGGAAAAAATGACAAATTCCAGGTTTTTTTTTCTTTTTCTTTTTCTTTTTTTTTTTTTGAGAGATGGCCCTACCGTTTTAGCAGCGGACAGAGTGCCGGAAGGTTACTCGTGGGGGAATAAACCACCTTCCGGCTACGCGATATCATCACTATTCTTGGAGGATAGCGACGTTTTTTTTCCAAACGGAGAGTGCTTGCCAGATTATGGCTTTTTGATAAAAGTCTGACGGAAACCGGTTTCCACCTACGCACCCTACTGTTTCGGCCGGTCCGTTTTTATTATTATTGATATCATTATTAAAGATTCTTCCCCCACCGTAATCGCACGCCTATTAAGCAATCAAGGAGTAGAGATCAAAGCGGCTCTTCTCGTACCCAAAACACCCGAGCCCCACCCCAAGGCAAGGTGTTGAGTTTAGGCGCCCTATTGCTTTTCTAACTTTACATCCACAATGAATCCTCTTCGGAACCTTTTTCTCTCTCCGGCTGAGATATGGAGCCTTGGCGGTGTAGGATGGAGTACTCTTGCTTCGAGATTGCTATGCTGATTTGTCTTTCTAGCTGAGTTTTATTATTATTATCATCATCATTATTATTCCTTTTATTGACCCCTGGGCTCCCGGTGGACGGCGGACTCGGTTCTCGCGCATTCTTGTGCGGCTTGGTGGTGAGGTGAGTAGTGCATTACGGCGTCCGACACATAAGCTACGCTGAATGTCTTGGGTCACAGTACCGGTACTGTAATCTACGAGCACAGGTACCTATATACCGGTATTAGCTTTCATGGGCGGGGGCGGGGGCGGGAACGCTAGTTTAGGCTTGTATTATAGCTTGTCAAGACCCTTTTTTCCTCGAGCTACTTGGAGTAAAAAAAGGTGCTTGAAGGTACAACAATATGCCGGAAGAGAATCGGCATGTATAACGGTATTGTGCAGTACTGTACTGTACTTGCGCGCGCGCGCATGCTATATAGACGCGCTGGAGATTATGGTTGGGAGGATGGAGACAGAGAGGTCAACTGTCATGTCATTTGCCGATACAAGTATTGGCGTGTTATGTGAAAGGGCTAGCTTGAATGAGTTGTCCGCTTCGTGTGAGGGCACACATCCTTTCCTTCCCGTCGATAATGTGTGAGCTTTGCCATGAATTCATGATTGGAGGGAGGACCCTTAATGTTTGAGGTTTCCACAAGTACCGCTACAGTACCGGTACGGTACCCTACTGCCATTTGTTCACCGGATGCTTGTTTTATGAGTTGGCTAGCTTGATGCCGGATTTGGGGTGAATGGGTCGAAGAGGGGAATAGGAAGCACAAGTACTAGTACTGGTTCACAAACTTGCCGTAGATCATATCATACGTATCCATTTATACCCCAGAACGAAAGGTCTCCCCAGCTCGTTCACTCTCAATTCCCCTCTCCATTCGGGGCTATCTCAGGCTTGGTCGTTATGGGTGGGTGGTGGGTATCATGATACAAACTACCCGCAGACTAAGCCGCCATCATGGGGGCTCGGGCTCGAGACTCTCGCGAGTGTCTTCCCCCGCGCCATGATGTAGCCGTAATTTTCTGACGTTTGCAAGCTCAGCTGCTATTGCATATGGGCGAAGAATTGGCCGGAGCCTCAAGATTTTGGTGGTATGCAATAGCAGTCGTGTTTGCAAACGCCAGAAAATTACGAGTATGATGGAAAAAAAAGGGTAAGAGGGCAACTCCTACCCCATCCGGGAGAGAAATGGGAATGGGTGCGGGTTAGAAAAGGGATTCTCTTTCTTTTCTGTTTCTAAAGGCCTTTCCTAGTGCAACCTTGGCCCAGAGTGTCGGTATCATACTGTTCGAGGGACTGAATGCGTTTGAGCCAGAAGAATTGGATGGGCGCTTGTGTAGGGTACCGGTTTTGGGAGGATTCCACCACCACCAATCTCTCCAACAACTCTTCCAGAGGTTGTCCGATGTCAGATCGAAATCCTTTTTTGCTCCATCCAAGAACTGGACTCAACTCCCGGGACCAGAAGAGGATTAGCCAGTATTATTTACGGTTTTAACTTGCACTGCAAGGATCGCTCTCTGTCTTGATCTGTCTCTCTCTATTTTTTTCTTTTTCTTCTCTTATTTTCTGCCCTGGATGTAAGACGTTCCAGCCTTTCTACCCGCCATCAACTATTGCCACCCATCCACCACCCATCATCATCATCCTCCACACTCACCACATCCACCCCTCCTACCACACCCACCCCCTCCTCCTTCCCTCCTTTACCCTCTCCGACCAAAGGAATTACAGGCAAGGAGGGGGGGGAGACAGGTGGGAGGAGGAGGCTCAGCATGATCATTGTTCTCGCCATAGACAAGGGTAGCTTATGCCCGAGCTATCAATGCGGATTGACAAGCGAAAAGGAGTCTTATGCCGAAGATCTGGGTACCTAAGCAAACTACCAAGCAGAGCACCATCGCGCTCTCTCTATATACACGTCAGCTTTGCGACTCTTCTCGGCTGTGCCTCTTATTTTTCTTTCTTACTCTTCTCTTTTGTTCGAATTTATCACACTCTCTTATGAACCCTCTGTGAGGTGTCTTTCTTTAACGTCACTTCTCCTCCCTTCCTTCCACTCCCCCGCCGTCGGGGCAACAATGAGATTATACAAACGCCACTTTGGACCTTTATGGATTGCGACACTGGTGCTGAGCTCTTCTGTTTTGGAGGTTGGAGGACAGACGCTGGGATGTTTGGCGGAGGGCGGATGTTTTCGGGGGTGTTTTCCAAAATGTCCCGGTTTGGAGACAGATTGCGTGTGCTCGGGGTTCAGGACAGTGCTGGATATGATGGGTATATTGGGTTGTGCCTTGAGGATTTGCCCACCTTCGGATGCGATGGGTAGTTTCAGCGCCCTAGGGGTCGGGTGCCTGCCCTTCATATCAACTACCACACGCCGCAGCAGGGCAAGCTCCTCTACAACCCCTACCCCGCTCACTGCTTGCGGCCCTGTTATAAGTGCTTCCGCGTCCGCTCGACCAACTACTAGTGCTTCGGTCTTACCCTCGAGTTCATCGAGCTCCAGGTCTTTCAGTACCCGGTCTTCCCCCTTGATCTCATCGGATCCACCCTCCTCGAGATGCACAACCATGAATTCAACAAGCCCAGCCTCACCAATTCCAACCTCCCCAACAATGACATCGCAAATTGTATCGCCAGCGCCAACGCCGCCCCTAGACCGTCCGCCCAACGAAGGCACCTCTTCCCCTCCGTTTCGTAGTCAACAAGAGCGGAAACTCCAACTAAGCCGTGGCCTAATAGTGGCGTTGGTCCTTGGCCCATTAGGCTTTCTGACATCCCTTCTAGCAATCTTCCTGATCCTCCGGCGGCGCCGGGGACGAGGTCGCCGCTCGATATCAAGCTTTACCGGCATCAGTGATTTTGATGCCAACCGGGGGAGCATAACTGCTCCACTACCAACATTCAGCTCTGATCCACCAAGAGTTCCACTGGCGGATGTTGGGACCCGGCCTACGACTCGGGGTTCCCAGATGAGTGCTGGAGTAGGAGCAGGGGCTATGGCGGCCGTGGCAGTAGCACGTAGAGCATCTACGCGCAGAGAAGATATAGTCTCAGCAACACCCGTGTCGAGTTCCCAGGGCAACAGCCAACTGCATATCTTCCCGCAGACAAGTCGGCGACTACCCGCTGGCCAGCGCCAGCCTCAGAGCCAGCAAAACCCGGACCTCCTCCTCCGATCACTGAGAAAGCCCCTCCCACAACTACCGCGGCCTCCGGAGGAGGCTAGAATTGGACCGAGAGCTGGGCCTAGCACTAGGAATAGTCCACTGGCATTGCCGTCTACGGTTTACCCCATACCGGACAATCCTCGACCAATGTCCGCAATCTCGGAATTGGCAGAGGTGGACCAATACCAACCTATACCAGACGATGCTACAGAAGTGGAATTTCGAAGAGTATATCATGATGTCCGTAGGGCGCTCAATCGGTCACCCTCCACCTCCACCGACCAGAACTCTACAGATTGGAGCATCATGACGGACCTGTCCAGGAATTCGACCACCCGAAGTTTTAGACCTGAAAGATGAAGTTTGTAAAAAAAAATTTGCGCCACCCTTAACGAATTGGGATTTTTTTTTTTTTTTTGATGTCAGGGTATTATGGATTTTAAACGGGAGTTTTTGGCTTGGAGGTTTTTTTTTTCGGGAGCGGGGGTGATGTATTACACTAATAATTTCTAGTTCTGGATCTTTTTTTATTTCCTGTGTTCTATCTGCCCTATCCTTCATTTGTATCATTTTGTTGGCTGCTTAAACCTTTGTAGCGGATCTTGGGGGTTTTTTTTATACTTTTTTATACTGTCTCTTTCTGGCTCCGAGCCGGAGTTATTGTATGAGCCACCGGGTTTTCCTTTCACCTCGCTTTGTACATTTCTTTTCTTGGGTTATGACGATTATAGCATTTGCATAGGGATTTCTTTATCTTCCCCCCTTTTCTCCTTTTACGAACCTCTCACACATCCCAATCTTGTATATCGGACATCCCTCACCCTCAGAGCTATCATACATAGCTCATTGCCTACCTATATTATAGAGTGTGGTACCTTCCACCTCCGGCTCAGCTCAGCTTTCTGGCCCCCATGTCGTGATCCGCACACCCTGGCAAATCACACCTCAGCAAAACATCACCCCGGTGCACACGTACACACTTTGAGAATGGTGAGAGAAACAAGGGACGGGGGAAAAGTAAGACACCCCTGCAACAGACATCTAGATTATCGCGTTCCAGTAGCGTTCCCATCCCACCCGCGCTCACGCTTCCCACCCACGGCCGCCCACACCACCGAGTGACACTCTATGACTAACTAACTAATTAACAAACTAAATAAACGCTGCTGCAATTCGCATCCATAATCATGCTCTGCCGTAGGTACCACAACTTTCCATGATATGCCCGCAGAGCGCGAGCAAACACTGGACTGTGTGTGAGTCAGCACCCGGTGTCGGCGGTTGGGGATGTTTACCCCCATAGTGAGTATCATAGGTGGAGAGGAGAAATTAGCTCCGCTTGTGCCATGAGTGGGCGCCAGGGTGTTTGGCCGTAGGGGTTGGGGCGGTAGGTATGGTGCGGTAAAGAGGAGCAGATGTGGGGAGACCATGGACGGGGTGGCGTATATAGCAGCTTGGCATGGGTGGGGAGGGATGATGCTGGGGGATTGATGCGTGGCAGTGTTGGTTTGGGGGGGGGGGGGGGGTGGTTGGTATTGTAACAGGCTTTTGGGTATCGTAGGCTATCATAATATTATGATATGATACTTTTAAGTTAGGCGTTTGCCCTGGGCTGGGCTGGTGGGGAGTGTGGAACATGGAATTGTCTAGTAGGCTCGGTGAATGGGAGGGGGTGCCGTACTGTACTGCAGCTTACGCTTTCGAGGAGCCTTCTTTTTCTCTTTCTCTTTTTCTCTTTGTTTCCTTCCCTCCTCTCTACCTGTCGCTGGGGGTACTTCTGCCTTTAACTCAGGGTTTCATTGGGCTGTACCGAACAGAACAGAACTTTACTTTGTGTCCGATTAACCCACCCCCCCCTCAGTGTTTGGGTATGTGGTTTGCAGTGATCCTGTGATTATCCACTATGCTCTGTCAGCAGTATCTATTCCCGCTCGTCTGTATTCCCGAGGACCGTACACACCAAGGTATCCATGACGCAGTCTCCATCGCGGTCCCGGCTCCGTCAACCAGTAAAACACTGAGGAATCCCCTTCCGGCCCCCGTGCACGTTCTTCTCTTCTACCTTCTTTCCGTTGCCGCAGCATGTGATGATGAGGTGATTAGGGCTTCACGAATGGATTAGATAGTATGATATGTGTTATTACGACTCCCTGTGGCGGTAACCGGGGGTGCTCGCACTGCGGAGTTTCCCTTGGCCGGAACCATGCGGCGCATGTGCGGCTGTGGGGGTTCCTCCTGGGATCGGAAGTGGGAGTGGGGGCGGTGGAACCGGGGATGCGGTTTCCTTTCTACTGCGCGGCTTCCTCGCGGTTGCATACTCTAGCTTGTGGGAGGCTTGGGTCGGGTCGGATTGGGAGCTATTTTCCCGTCTGCTTGGCTTGATTGATTTGGATGGGATGGGAGGGGGGGGGGGCGGGCGGAAGGGATGGTTGGGTGGGTATCGTAGTGTGGAGTTGCTTTGGAGGGTTGATGTGCTCGTAGCTTATTTTATGGATGATGTGATGGCGAATTTTTCTTTTTTTAATGAGACGGCAGACGGGGCTTCTGCCTCTTCTGATAAGAGTTTGGTTCTCGTTTCCGTAATTCCTGGGGTGGATTGGGGGGTATCATGCTGTGCGGTAGTGAAAGCTGTTTTCTCTGGTAGTGCTTGGTATGATACCTAAACTTGGGGCATAATTTGGATGATGCGGTCTGGTCTCCTAGTACCGAATACCGTAATTATTCTACTCCCCCCTTCTAGAAGAAAATTTGCTCAAGTTATTGATGTATTTTAACACGGCTAAAAGGCCATGACTGTCCGTGACCTTGGCTCGGGTCAAGTTTTTGCCGGGCTAAAGTGGATAGGAGTTCAATTTGAACTAGCGTTACAACAAGCATCATAATTACCGTCTTTAGCTCCAGCAATGACGGGTATCGAGATCTGAGGGATGAAATCGTTTCATTCCTGCCGGGTGGAGGAGGTGGAGATTGATGGTATCATATATCCTAGAATGAGTCAAAGCTGAACATCTTCGGGGGGGTTTGGGAGGGATTGTGCCTTCTTCTGGGTCGAGAGGCTTTTATGGGGTTGTAAGGGAGATGGGGTTGTCTGGCGTTTTACCCGTAGTAGTATGATAACGCGCTACTTGTACTCGTACTCTACTCGAGTATCATACTGCAAGCAAACAGTGTGCATGGAGGATGACAAGATGGGACAAATCTGGACATTGACTCAATCAAAGCTGCTGTGCTGATATTGCCAAATCACCAATTATCCGTGGAGGGATTCTGTTTCCAGAATCAATTATTACACAGTAGCCTTCAGACGAGTGTTGATGGTTATTGCTATCCCATTACCTCTTCAGTACTGTAGGCATTATCTCAAGTTATTGTGATGAAAAGGTCCTGTTCCTTTTGGCCTATCATCAGGTAGTTTAACTTTAAAGTCTAGTAACATAATGCACCTCTGACGGATCTTCTCTGTTCTACTTCCAAGATGTTAGTAAAAGTCCCCTTTCATATATCTTGTAAACAGGTTCCAGTTAGGCAGATAGAAATAATATATATAGTATTATGAATGGGGATTTATTGGTTTGACTGAATAGTCAAGGGACATAACTTGTGGGATCTTACTAAGGATTTGTGGGCCCTAGAAGGGGGCTGGAGGGTGGTATTAGCTTACTTATAGTCTGTGTGCAGCTAATATCAACTCTATAGAAGGCAATCCTCAAAGATCCTTCTTGAGTTGTAAGTTTCTATTTTCAATTTGCAAGTATCAATTCTTGGCTCTTCCTGCAGTTGATAATAAAACTGCATCACATTCAAGTTCCACAAGCTTTTAATATGTTAAGTTAAGTTCTGAGTTAGAAATAGTATTTTCTTCAACTCTTTTATCCTGATCTTCTATATTTCCTCTTGAATCGTGTCCTACAGTCTTACATTATAGATAGGAATCTCTACAACTTGGTGACCTGTTGGTTATAGTAACAACTTTGTAGTATCATGAATAAGGTAGCATATTGGTAGTAGATGTGAGAAATTTATGTGGTGATGGGAACAGATGTCAGAAGTGTGGGTGGTAAATTACCTTCTGTAATCATTGCAAATACTCTAGTGTGGTATACTTGTGCTTGTACTAGAGTGTTGCCTAGGCTGAACTTGACAAGATGTATCTTGCCTGGAATAGGTGATAAAGATGTGTGCACAGTGATAAGTAATTCAATTCTCAGGACCATATGATATATAGATCTTATTAGATTGTTCTTTAAGATTGTTCTTGTGTTAAATTAGTGCTCATGGGAATAAACTGTCCAGTACTATATATGATAGATGTTGTATGAATAGGGAATTGTCTACCGGTAGTGTCCTTTGATCTCGAAAAATCCTGGATCCTTTAATTCACAAATTATACGATGTCATGCGGTTATCTTGGAGACTTGGATGAGAGTCGAGCTGCCGTACTGGGCTGCCACACTGTGATGTGTCTGCTCTGGTGGAGCTTCAATAAGCTCAGTTACCAGTATCGCATGTATTTACGCTACGGTACTGTACATCTAACCACTAAGATATCTAATTGACTGACTGCCCGGTTACCCAAGGGGACAGAAGGGGGGGGGGGCCTTCCGATACCGGTATGAGAGTACTTTGCCGTTAGTAAATTGCTACGCTTTAAGATTAGCTCCACCTCAGGCTTCATAGTTTTGCCTTCTAACTTCTCCTCCAGAGCACTCCAGAAGCCCCGCCTCCTGGTCGACGTTGGTTTCTAATGAATTTCGGTAACCGTGACAATCTGCGCTGAGGATTAACAAGGATTTATGAGAGGACATTTTGCCTGTTTTCGTGGGAATCACTGACCTCGTGATTGGGGGTTGGTTGATTGTAACTGACGACGCTGCTGGGATCTAAGTATCATGAGCGTTGGATTAAGTAAGTTAATTGCTGATGGACTCTCTGTATTGCGCGTTTGGACTGGGCTGGCGTCGGAAATCTCGTGATTGAATTCCTAGTTCTTGTGTTTTAATGCATTGAATGAAAAAGGTTTGTTTTTGCTATTTGTTCAATTATTTTTCTTACTAGCAGTGTTTGGATATTTACTTGCAAGAGGGAGATTTTTTGGCGGGGAATGGCTCCCAGTGATTGAGAACTGGGACGCCCGAGTTAATCCAGTATATTTGCTAACCAACTATCATAGCTATTGTAGATGGTGCCAACCTGGTTTTCACCTAGAGGCATTGCTTTCCAAGGGGCAAGTCAACCCCACACAAAACACCGCCTATCCCGCAGTACAGTGCACCTGAAAAGTATTGTCCGCGCCCAGCCGTATGCCGGTTCGGCGGTGCCAGGATAATAGAAATTATTGAAATCCGCGCCCCGCGTAACCGGAGCCGAGGGGTCGGCCCGAATAGGATGAGAACGATGTAACCAAAACAAAAAAAAGCAACGAAATCCATAGCCCCCTAATGAGCCTAAAAATTTGAAAAGAAAGTTCTCGAGTAATTAAGATACTGCAAGCCAATGTATAGCATCAGATTCTTGATAAATTCTCTTGTTTCGTTGATACGGTATTTCAGGCTCGGCAGTGTTTTGGGGGGGTTGCCGGGTTATTATCCCACCAGGAGTAGTGGGCGGTGGTGGTAGCGGTGGTGGGGGTGGTCAAAACGAACGGAATCCAGCGCTTCCCCGAAACACTCATGAGACTATGGTACGAAAAACCAGTCATGTCCCCCCAACCCAAAACCTGCCAAGAGTAAACCGCCCCTGCCCCTCATGGAGCATTTTCTCCAAAATCCCCGGGCTTCTCCTAGAAATCTACCGATGGTCGAACACAGCAGATCGCCGAGATTTCCCAAGGATCCGCCATCCGTAGCCAGATCTCTCGACCCCCTCCTCACTTGGTGGGGAACTGTGTATTATGAATTAATGACCACCCGGCATCTCAAAATTCACTTCCTGGTACCCTCGGTACCACTTTCTGTTCATTGTAGATCATGCCTTGCCTCGAAAAGCTTTCCGCCGCGATCTTCCGTGGGAGAAAAGGGCGCCAGGGTGGGAGTGCTCAGTATGATAGGAATGCCAACTCAAGGTCCGGGATTT